CCGATACCCCTTGACCACTTTGGGCTACCACCGGCTCAGGACTTTGACGGATCCCATAGGGGTTAGGTGGTCTCAATTACTTAAAAACAAAGAAATGAAAGAGTAAAGAGAGTTCAGAAATCTCTCCCAGACAAAACTAGCCAGAGTAAGGGCAAAGGAGGGAGGGAGTGCTCTGGAAATAGTGGGGGGCGTAACAATTTGAGGTGCCTAAGGCGCTGAGGAGGTTAAAAATGGCCCTGTAGCCCTCCTGTTGTTTTATAAGGCGACGCTAATATAACATTCGATCACTTTGAAAACAGTAAAATCGTCACTTGACCATAGTTCAAAATTACGAGGTCCGTCACCAAAAGCCCTCGTGTAGCCTTCATTCACTCACTCACTCACTTGAAAACTACAAAAAAAATTCACCCATAGAGGTATTAATTTCGTCATTTGACTGCTGCTTCAAAAATACGAGTTCTTCACTCATAGCCCTCTGTAAAGCTCTAATAGAATATTTTGTTCAGTAAAACCATTCACAAAGTTTTAGGTTTGAAATTGTGTCAGAATTTTTTTTTAATGTTAAAGAATTTTAACATTAAAAAAAAATTCCTCGAGGAATTTTTTTAAAGGATTTAAAAAAAAATAGCTGGATATATAAAAACTTGACTATATTTTGTGGAACGTAGAACATAAAATTTACCACACCAACCGCAAGAAGACTGATAGAAATGTTTTTTTAGATTAAATAGAAAGGAAATCACATATACACTTTAGAGGACATGTTTCGATAGCAAAGTGAAACTTAAACTGTATCAAAAGCATTTCATTTCCCTTTGTTCTTCCAACAACACAGATAGGGTTTTTCTTTCTTTCACCACAACTTTATTTCGATACCTAATGAAAAGGATTCCGACATCCTGTGGGATTTTCTGAAGCAGCTATTTATGAAACAATGAAAAGAGTTTGGATTGGATTGAAGGAAAAAAAAATCTTTCATTATGATAGGATTGCAAAAATATTTGCAAGAACAATTTTTTTCTTTCTAGTTACGAACAATGATTTGCATTTTTTAAAGCCTTAATAGTTCTGTTTATAGTTTTCATTTTTAACAGTTAAGGTTATGTTCTTAACACTAGAAAATATAGATTAAAAAATATGTGCTGGATTGCTCTACACACCAATTTCCAATATATAAAGACTTCAAAATCTACAAAAATATTCGCAAGCTTTTAATTAAAAATACTCAACACATTATCGAATGCTGTCATGTTGTTAAAAATTTAAAAAATTGAGTCGTGGTTATGGTCCCAAACTTGTAGCTGACGAATTAGACGCCTGGTGCCGTGGCCGCGGAAATTACGAGGTCCGTCGCCAAAAGCCCTCGAGTAGCTGAATAGTGCGACGTCACTCAATCCTGTTGCCACCAGTCCGTAGAAAGGGTTATGCATATTAACTATGTCATAGCTCAAAGCTCTCACGAGGGCGTGGTGGGGAAGTTTGGAGAGAGAGATACGAGCTGAAATGTCGCCTTCGTCACTTGACTGAGGTTCAAATTGACTTTTGAGGTCCGCACGTTAAAAGTCACTGTGTTGTTTCAAGTAAGTGCTTATTAATATTGCACTATAAAGCCCCACAAAGGCTATTGGTGACGTACCTCGTTATTTTAAACTATGATCTAGGGACGAGGACGACCAATGAGTTGGCGGCGCCCCTCTCATACTTTCACACCATACCAACCGGGACTTTGAACCGACAGATTTAACGTTCATCAGCCTCTATACACTGCGGGTCTTCCAGGTACTGGGGTTGAAGCTCCCTGACATGCCAGCCACGAGAGCTCGTGACCAAAACTCATTAGTCTACGCGGGCCCCAAATCAGAGATGCTGAAGTGAACTAGAGAATGAGGTATCAGCTCAGATGTCGTCCTGGTCCTGTTCATGGCTCAAAATTGAGGTCCTTTGCCTCATCCCTGGTGTAGCTTAGAGCAATGCTAATTCAAAAAATCAAATGACAATTTTTTATTTATTGAGGAGTTGCAATATCCCCTATGTATTTTAGAGTAATTATGACATGTTTATTAGCCATATTGTCTTTGCACATGACTCATTTCTATTCAATACAAAGGTGAAGGACGAAATAGTTTCAGGGTTTTGGCTGGAGAAGTTGCAGGTTAGAGTTTCGATTCTGCCAAAATATTAAGGTCGCGTTACCTGCTAGTGAAAGCGTTAATCCCGTGACTCGTTATTCGTGAGCTCAAACTTTTGATTCTGCTGATGACCCTTGGGCAGAAAGAAAAACTGTTTCAAGTCAAATCTAATGGGACTTCGAGCATGGTGTGGAAGGTTAGAAGATAAATAAGAACTTATGGGGCACTGAATAGCAATCAATTTATTTTTTAACCTCGGTGTAAAATCATATGATTCTCTGTCAGTGGACTTATAAATTTTTATGGACTTTGAATTTTAGAAAAGAGTAAAATATATTAAAACAAGAACCATTATGCAGAGTAATTAGTACTGTTACTCTCTAAATTTAATTGGAGATTCAATTTAATTTTTTTTCCGATTGATTATAATCCTACGTGTATAGTACGCAAAATTTAATCATGTATTTGTTATTACTAATTAATTTAAATAATTAATGCTATTTATTTATTCTATAATTAATTTTTTACTGTTTTTTGTTCCCGAAAATCGACAAAATCAAAAGAATCTGTTGGGCGGCGTATTAGAGCATGATACGAGAATGATGGACTTTCAACTCTGAACCCCCCCACAATTGAAAAATTTCTATGTGAGCGACTGAAAACTACTGACACAGATAGATGACTTGTATAGCTCCAAGAGAAATTTATTCTTGATCAAAGTTGATTTTATGTTTTTTCTAAATAACAAGTCAGATGCTTTTTGTTCTTTTGAGTTATTCAAATTTATCAGATTTTTCACTATTTGTTGTTTTAGCAGACATTTCGTTATTATTCATCCAGTTTTCGAGTGAAGATATGAAAAAACAGTTGAACAAAAAATTGTTTGACAATTTATAGAAAAACATATTTTCATTCACAGAACCATATCGTTAAGCTTCTGGATAACTATTCGATATGTTTTTATATCACAAGCATTTACTATCAATATTATTTCTAAGACAGGGGTGGCGAACCTTTATGGATCAACGTGCCGTTTCTTCCAAAGAAATGTGGTATCCGACTACGTTTAGAACCGTGATTTTGCAAAAGCGCATAAATGGATAATTTTCATGATATTTAGTATCACTTAAATTAGAATACATGTATAAAATTGTTTGAAGGACATTTTGACAAAAATTTTTTATTTAAATACGATATTTTGGTAAAAAATTAACTCTTAGAATCTTTTTTTTCCAAATGTTCTCCTTTTGTGAAAAATGCTTCTATTATAATATTTTGCCTGTATATAGCCAAAACCTCTCTACAGAGACTCAACTAGAATTTTTGAAATATATAACTTAGAAGTGGGTTCATCCATGTTTTACGACAACAGAGGGGAGAAATTTTAAGAAAAAAACGCCGATAATTATTTCAATTGGTGGTAACCCGAAAATAAAGTGAATTTTTAAAAAATTCCAGTTGAGGGCCCCTGTAAAAGGTCTGGCTATATACAGGCAAAATATTCATATCATAAGCATTTTTCACAAGAAACTGATAAGATTTTAAGTTAATTTTCCAAAATATTGTATTTAAAAATATCCTTTTGCACTTTTTAAAATCAGGGGTTCAACGTAGTCGGATACTATAAAATATAAACGTGCCGTCAAGAATTTTGACTTGTATTGTGGAATATATAAAACTAAATACTAACAACTCGAAACTATTTACTACGAAAAGTTACATTTTGAACTGTATAAAATTGTAATAGTTTTAGTTATACGTGTAATTCAAATTAAAGTAACATTAGAGTTGGACTTCTGTTTTAGCAGAGATTAGAGAACAAATAACTTATATTACGATTGTAAGATGTTGCTTTTAGAAGAAAGCATGCTGAATTGCTGAGTCATTAGCCAAACGATTTCGAAGCGAGTCTTTAATGTTTTTCATCTCTGAAAATAATAATTTGGAGCGTAAGTAGATGAAAATATGGTTAAAATAGCATGTGATCCAACTTTTTGAAAAAGTTAAATGTGTCTGGAATCTATTTCCATGTTTCCTATATTTTATTATTAGCATTTTTATCTATACTGCTTGTTAATTTTTCTGTTTAAATCAATTCCAAATTTTCCTTGTTTCAATCAATTTTTGAATCCCTATTGAAGACTGGAAATGAATCTCTCAGTTGCATTTCAAATTTTGTCAATTTTCGACCAATCGAAATGGGACGTTTAGTTTAACAAATGAATAATAAACTTGAGCGTTTAGAGAAAATCTGAGAAAATTTCGCTAATTACGACCGATCACTCGCGTTTGTTTGCAATATTTCATAATGAACTTAGTTATTTTGAAGTAAAATGCTAACCGTTTTGATCGGTGGCGTGCCCAATGGCACGCGTGCCACTTGTTTGCCATCCCTGTTCTAAGATATTGATCACGACTGTTACCGAAAAAAAGCCCATCTTCCCTTCCTGTGCACGCTTATGTGACTCTATGTATATTATAAATGGTTCTTTGATTCCTTAGTTATCTAGTTTGCCTTACTTAAAAAAACAAGTAATATATATATATATATATATATATATATATATATATATATATATATATATATATATAATTTTTAAGTCAGTTCCAACTTAGGTCAACAAAGAAAATATTTATTTTAGTTCCTTTTAATTAAATAGTTACAATTAATATAAATATGTATATACATATGGCAGAATCACACTATTAAGTGATACAATAGAACGCGATTTTCCCTGCAATTTTCCGTTTTCCTTTCTATATAGGGTGTTGAACTATTATTTTCGTTTGTTACTATTTATTCATTAATTAAACTTAATTATCCCGATAAAATAGTTTAGTAAAAAGAAATCACATTCACAGAAATTAGGCCATCGCAGGTGGGATTCGAACCCACGACCTTCGGATTAGAAGTCCAACGCACTATCCATTGCGCTACAGGGAGACAACGAACGAGTTTCCTTTTTATATATGGTGCTGGACTATTATTTTTTATATGTGTGTTACTATTTATTCATTAATTAAATTAATGAATCAATATTTGAAAAAAACTTTATTACCATCATGTGCCATCCACTGCAAGTTTGAAAAAATGTATTTGAACTTGAATGGATGAATAGAAAATATTTTATTAACGACTGAAAATTTGATATACGTATATATTTGAAAATTTGACAATATATATATATGGGGAGAGAATGAACTAATAGTAGGGATCGAAATAAGCAAAATACTTGTAGTTTATTGGGAAATTTTGATTTCATCCAAAATCTTGCCCCATATAACACCACTTATCACGATTGCTTCCACTATGCATTGATTTTCATTTGTTTCCATTAAAAAGAAAACAAGAGAAAGATAAACATCGAACACGAACTCGGCGATTTCTCGGAACCCGTATATTTTGAACGAATGATTACTCAACTGAACAGTACCTTGCTCAGGAATCAGTGAACCCTGCGCCATTTTTCATCAAATCACAAAAAAGATAACGAATAAAGTGAAGGGAAACTAAATTTTACGCATATTATTATTATTTGCCGTATAGAAATGGCACTGAAGCACACCACTAGCTTGACAGGATTTCGCTATAACATCCATCACAATCTCTACGTGTGTGTCAGGTGACAGAAAAAAGTAAAAGGCTCTGATTTGTAACGCATTACCCAGAAGCCCATTGTGGTGTCGTCCGACAGGTCACTGGAATCAGTGCGGCCACGAAAATGAATGCCATACAAGATTGCTGTATGCAATTTTTTTTTATTTGTGAAGATTTGGAAATAAGAAATTAACCTTTTATTGCAAGTGCGCGGCCTCGTAGACTACATGACCTGCATCCATAATCACTCTTTCCATCATTTTTTTTATTCTATAATAAACTGTCAAAATAATAATAATAATTTTAGATAAAAAACCCAGGGTTTTTTGAAAAATTGATTTAATTGTATCTTTGAAATAGAAGTTAGTGTAATTTAGCTAAAACTATGTGAAATTCAACAACTAGAGTCCATTCTATCTTACTTTTACCCAAAAGAAATTTTAGACTGCAAAACAAGTAATGTAAAAAAAAAAGTCAATTCTTACTTAGATCAATAAAGAAAAATTTTATTTTATAGCAACTTTTATTAAACAGTTACAATTGATATAAATATTGTGACGGGCTCACGCGTCTTTTCTATAACATAACCTCTGGGTTCTTTGATGGCCAAGATTAATGGCAACTCTTTTCCAAACAAAATCCAAGGAGCGAAATGCAACTGTGAAATGCAAATAAGATAGCTTTTAAAAGAACAGAAGTTTCAGCAAGCAGTATGGCAATTTAGGGAAAGTTATGTTTAGAAGAGATACGAGTGTGAATTGACGGCCTATCGTAAAGTTACCAAGATATCGAGCCATTATTACAAGGCGCATACCATTGCACGCGCGCTCAGGTGTTTCTGTACCGTGATAGAATCTTAGTTTGGATTAAGGTAGGACTGATTATTTGATATTAGAACTTGTAATATTATCAGAATTAAAAGTAGGTGGATAATATAATTACTTAGATAAAAGTGGTCTAAATTACGAGATTCGGTTTAACTATCGCTGTGTGTTTGGTTCATTAGATTCTCACTTGTATAAATTTATCTAAATTGTTAAAGGTTTAAGTTATATTCTTAATAAAGTCATATTAAGAATTTTAAAATGTCTATTCATTTTGAGAATCCCACACCTCTAATTCACGCTGACAATCAAAGATATGGTCACCAAAGAGCGACCATATCACAATATGTATATACATATGACAGAATCACAACATTATAAGTGGTAATTAATTTTTATTAATTATCATTAAAGTATCGTATTGTCATCCTAAACAATCGTGTATATAAAATTTCAGTTCACCTGAATGTTTTAAAAAGTGAGAAAAAGCACGAATATAGTTAATATAGTTTTTACAAGAATTATCGCGGTAAATTATCGATCAATTTAATGTTACGACTTTTTTGATCTAAAAGGAACACAATACCCAACGCTTTAAAAATCGTATAATTAGAAAAAGTATATTTTTTTTTAGAAAAGTAAACATACTTTCACAATGTGAAGGGTGAAATAATTTAACATAACCTATCTGAAATTTATTTAATTTTATATTTAAATTTTATTTTGTTTTAAGCTTAGATACTTTTTAATGCATTTTATATATTGTGCTTAAATCTAAATCAGAATTCTTCCACCTGGGCTCTCTGTAACTTTGACTGAGGTTCCACAAATGATCACTATGTACTTAATTAAAGTGATAAAATTTAAGTAAAATTTTAATTTTTACCAAAGATCAAATTCTCTTAAAGATAGTTTACTTGTAAAAATAAATATTTCAATGATAAAATAAAATTTTAAGCTTTGTAGAAATCACGTGCTTCAAGCAACAATGGATAAGTCAGACGGCTTGCCAATGAAGAAGGAACAATTTATCGACTATCAACATATTTTCGAAGTATAAGTCTAAATTTAAGCAGGAACAGTTCCTCAATTTTAGGTTATAAATTTGTAGAATACGCAGAAGTTTCTCACATTGTTATAAACATTTTAATACTATTCTGAAGAATGCATTTAAACTAACAGGTAGCATAAAAAAATTTTTTTAATTCAATTCCTACATAGGTCAACAAAAGTTTATTTTAGTTACTTTTTATTAAATAATTACAGTTAAAAAATATAAATATGTTTATACATAGGACAGAATCACAATATTAAGGGGCAATTAATTTTTATTAATTATCATTAATCGTAAAAAAATCAAAAGCAATCGTGTATGTAAAACTTCAGTTACAACTTAAAGCTTTAAAAATATATATATATTTTAAAGTTTTGACCCAAGTCGCTAAAAATGATGCCAACGTGACTCTGCATTTGTAATTCCTCAAATAATTAGTTTCACTCAATTCATTTTAATTAATTATAATTAAATTATCGTATTGTCACCCAAAACAATCGTGTATAGAAAATTTCAGTTCAACTGAATGCTTTAAAACGTGAGAAAAAAAAAACATTTTCAAGCTTTGACATAAGTCGCCAAAAATGATGCCAAAGTGGCTGTATTTGTAATTCTTCAAATAATTAGTTCTAATCAATTAATTTTTATTAATTATAATTAAATTATATTGTATTGCCATCCAAAATAATCGTATATATAAAATTTCAGCTCAATTGAGCGCTTTAAAATGTATTTTATTAACGATTGAAAATTTGAAAATTTGAACAAGACATATATAAGGGAGATTGTGACTAATAGTAGGAACTGAAAAATATATTTCTTAAAGTAAGTGGCAACAAAAGCAAAATGTAAAAGCAAACTATTGCATAATATAAAACGCGACTGCACATATAACTTTAATATACTTATACCTTGACAGTTTGTGTAAAAAAATGCACACATATCCTACATATCCTACTTATTAAACATAATGCAAAGGTAAATGACACCTGGAGTACGAATTAATGAGTAAATTACATTATAGTATTATGTTAAAAAACTTTAATAAAAAAATGCAATATTTTTAAAAATTATCCTTATTTAAAGTACCTATAACATTTACGTGTTTTGATCTACTTTAAATACTATTTTAAAATATATACATCTGAGAGAATTTTTTCTTTTTGCTTTGAGTTCCCCGGAAACGCATTACACTTTCAGAGGTACCGTGAGTTGACACAGTTTGAAGACCACTGATCTAAATAAGTGTCGATTCTGCTCATAGAAATAAACGGAAACTATTCCTGAAGTTCGTTTAAAATTGTATCCTTTACTCATTCTTATAAGCACTAAGCTCTCCACGAGTAGGAATGACATGGCTCCAAGAATAGCATTTGTTTAAAATAGGAGAGACAGTTTGCACGTCTGGTTTCTAGAGAAAACGTAACATGGTGTGAAATCCTTCTCATAAGGATTATTTTCATTGCACTCATAGGATGAAAATAGTCCTCTTTTTAGGGATTTACGTTTTTCCAAAGGAACTCTGCACAAAGAACATTTTTCTCATGAAAAGAAAAATTTGGATGTTTAACCTCTTAACGTGCACATGTTTTGAAAAAAAAAATCCGACAATAGAAAAACAGCAATTTTTCTTTTATTTAAGAAAATGCATTTTAGAACCTCGTTTTAGGAAAAAATACGAGGGCTATTCAGAAAGTAAAGAACGTTTCCGTCTGACGTCTCTAGGCGCTCGCCAATCATGTACATTTTGGTGTCTTAGTGCTCGGCATCTCAGTCGGCGTCCAGCCATCACAACAGGAACATTTCCACGCTGCCCGTTTTTTCGATATTCGAATTTAAAATGTGCGCGCTGCAATTGAAAATCCCGCCAGTTGTGAGGTGCGGTCTGTGATATTGTTTTTGCTGGCAAAAAAAACCCCCTAAAACCGATGGAAATGTATCGGCAAGTGTGTGAAGTGTACGGAAACAACGTAATGAATGAAAGTTCAATCCGAAAATGGTGCATTCAGTTTAAAAATGGCCAAACTAACGTTCAAAATGAAGAGAAGAGTGGACGCCCTAGCATTGTGACTGACGAATTGGTCGCTAAAGTTGATGAAAAGATTCGTGGAAACCGCCGTTTCACAATAACGGAGCTTTCGCTTTGTTTTCCCACAAGTTTCACGGACTTTGTTGTTTGAAATTGTCTCACCTGGATAGCAACACTGCGCTTTGAGGACGACAAGGAGCTGCGAGTGAGCGTCACTGAGTGACTGAGATCGCAGGCGGCAGAATTCTATGACAAAGAAATTTCAAAGCTTGTCCATCGCTATGATAAATGCCTCAATTTGTTGGGTGAATATGTAGAAAAGTAGAATTTTAGTCACTCTTTCTGATGTATGTAATAAATTGTTTTTCTTGTACTTAGTTTCTTTTTAATTCCAAAACGTTCCTTACTTTCTGAATAGCCCTCGTAGATATAAAATCAATCAAA